AGTGGGCATTGCCAGGCTGAGGGGCCCAAGCCATCCCTGGGGAGCTGCAGAGTGCTGGGAGCAGCCCTGACACCCACAGAGACAGCTCAGAGTCCCTCAGTGCCCACATGGCTCCTTGTGCCCTCCCCAGAGGGGCTCAGCTCAGCCTGGCCTGGCACCAGTGACCCCCCCTTGTCCCCTGCAGTGGTGACATGAGCCAGATGGGCACCCTGATCTCCCTGGACTGCCTGTTGCACCAGATGAAAGCTGAGAGAACCGTGGACATCTACGGTGTGAGCCTCCAGCTGGCCAGGAGCTGCTGCCTCCTGACCCCCACTCTGGTAGGTGGGGAGGGCAGGGGAGGGTGGGCAGGGTGCAGCAGAGTCCTCTGCTCCCCTTCCTGGGGCTGGCAGCATCCTGGGTGCTGCCTGTCCAGCCTCAGCAGGGATTTCCTTCTGCTCCTTCCCCACCCTGAGGCTCTGCCAGCCACCAAGGGCTGAGGGCACTGGCTTTGCCCAGGTGAGAGTGTTCCCTCTCCTGGGTTCTGAGTTGAGATCAGTTAAATTGCATGTGAACTCACAGTAATTAAAACACTCTTCCCATTGTGCTCAAGGAAGAATGAAGCACTGGTGTCACCCTACACAGCCTGCCTGCTCCTGGGCATGGCTGTCAGCCTGGGAACCCAGAGCCTGCTGGGTGTCCCCATGGCCAGCACCTTTCCTGCTGCATCTTGCAGACCCAAAACCTGCTGGGTGTCCCCATGGGCAGCTTCTTTCCTGCTGGGTACCCCCATGGCCAGCACCTTCCCTGCTGCATTCCCCAGACCCAAAACCTGCTGGGTGTCCCCTTAGCCAGCACCTTCCCTGCTGCATCCCCCAGCCCCAGAGCTGCTGTCACAGCTGGGGCTGCCTGCCAGGGGGACAGTGGGACAGAGTGCCATGTTGCAGGTGCCCTGTGGGCTGTGGCACTCTCTGATTGAACCATTCCATGCCAGCCCAGCCCTGGTGGTTGCCTGTGGTGGCACCAGTGCCTCTGGACATGCTCCAGTGGCAGCAGCTGCTGAGTGAGCTGATGCACAGCCCTGGAAACTCCCCACAGGGCACAGCAGAGCTGGGCAAGGTCTCTCCGAGGCTTCCCAGCTGCACAGCCTTCTTCAAGAAGCTAATTACATTCTTAATTAATGTGAACCATGTGCGTGGTGGGAGCCAGAGCAGGGCCAGGCATCCCCTGCCCCTCTCCCAAGCCGCTTTGTGCTCCCGCCGTGCCCAGCCCTGCAGGGACACAATTCCCTGCAAGACCTGAAATGAGGGATGTGGGACTCCAGGCAGCTCTCCAAAATGCAATTTATTACATCCAAGAGGTTACAGCAGTGCAGGGTTGTGAGTGACAGAGCTGTGCCTACAGCTGTCAGCTCCAGCTGCAGGCAGGCCTGGAGACCCTTAGTTTTGGTTCCACTGCATTATATACCTTTCTTTTGGTTACATTGCATATATATATATATATATGCAATATATATACTTTTATACTTATATACTTTTCTTTGCCGAGCATCTCAATACAGTAGAACCAATCTATACCTGAACTTTTATCTGTAGCCTATCATAACTACTATAATTACCATACTGTTACTGTTCTCCAATCACTAAAAGTCAGTACATTACAGTTTAAGCTAGAAGTTGTTTTTCAGTTTTCTTGCAGGGGAAAATTCTGAGACCTTTTTTCTACTTGCAGCTTTGCTGACTTGTTTGCCTGTGCTATCTTCCTGCTTGGTAAAAACATCTTGTTTGGGGTGGGCTTATCCTTTGCTCTAAGCCGTAAAAACCCCTTCTAACTAACACACCCTTTTCCTCTTTGGTTATCCAGCAAGACTGGCTCAGCAATTCTTGTCTTCTGTATCAAAACTTGCTTTTATTTCTATCCCTTCATCAGACTACATTTAAAAATCTTTCTGCTAGGCACACATATCTGTGAGACTTTCTTGTCAAACTTTCATCCTTCCCAACAATTCCCCATCAAGGCACAGCAGGGTGTAACGTTTGCCTTTCAAGGGCCCATCAAACGCTGCTGTCCTGCTGAAGGGGAGCAGCAGAGGAGCAGCAGGGCTGCCCTGCAGCCTCTCCACCCTCTGGGGCCCTGCCAGCACCCCTTGGTGTCTGGGGGGTCAGCGGCTGCTGCCATGCTGGAGGCATCGGATTTTGGGGGGAAGATGACCTTTGATGGATGTTCAGGGATAACTGTCAGATATTAATCCCCAGCAGCCCCAGCAGTGTGGTGCATGTCCCAGGGGATGTGCTCTTGCATGTGGCAGTGTCTGACTGTGCCTGGGCTGTCCCTGCCCGTTTCACAATCTGTGACTCACTGCACTCCCTGTGTGACCCTGAGCCCCAGCCATTGTGTGCTCACCCATCATGAGGCCGAGCCCCCAGCACAGGGAGGAGGCTCCTCGTGACTTGTGGCTCAGCCAGAGCATTAATGAGCTCTGGGAATGCTCTGGGGCCCCTCTGCAGCCCTGATCCCCCTGGCCATGGCACGTGATGCCAGCCCACACCATGGGCTGCCTGCCCTTGCCTCCAGCTCTGTGCCCTGAGCACAACCCCATTACATCCTCACATCTTCCCTCCTCAGCCCTGGGTTTGTGGCCTGGTGTCATTGTGGGGCAGCCTGGAGTTTGGGCAGAACCTCATGTCAAACATGGGGACTCAGAGCTCACATTTGGACCTGATGGATCAGTTTGCTGATGCTAAAAAGGGACAAACAATGCAGCTGGGCTAAACCCACACAGATCCTTCTGTACCCCTGTGAGCGTCTGCCCTGCTCTGCTGTCAGCTCCTGACTCTACAAGCTCCCACACCAAGGGAAACTCCTGGTCCAGGGATCTTCCCCATTTTCCCTTGGTGCAGTCCCAGTGTAGAGAGTCAGGAGCTGACAGCAGAGCAGGGCAGATGCTGCTCCAGGGCTCTTCCCTCCTGTCCCCAGTCACTGCCAGACCCCAGTGATGCCCTGCACATCCCTGGAGTTGCTCTTTGCGCTTGTTTCGGATGCAAACACCGCAGCACACCCAAAAGCCACTGTGGCCCCCTTGGAGGGGGAGCCAAATGAAATTGTTCCTCTGCAGCTTGGCTGGGATGGGATGTTCCTCTCAGCCCCATCACAGAGGATGAGGAAGGGGAAACAAGCATGGTGTAACAGGCTTGGGTGGCTGTGGTGACACAGAGCCACCATGGACTGCTGGGGAGAGCAAATCCTGCTCTGGTACCACACACTGCTCCTTAATTGGGATTTTTTAAAGCAAGCTGCAAGGTTAATGTCAGAAAGCTGACTCTGACCTCTCTCTCCTACAGGACCAGTACATCTTCCTGCACAGCTGCATCCAGGACATCCTGGCTCAGAACCAGCCCTGACACCCCCTGACCCTTCTGGCACCTTCTGCCTGCTCCTGTACAGAGCTGGGGGCACCGTGGGACCCCTGGCACAGAGGAGGAGCAGTGCCCTCCCTGCCTGGGCAGTGTCCCCAGCGTGGTGCCAGCTGTGACTCCTGGACACATGGACAGTGTCCTGGGACACACGGACAGTGTCCTGCCATATCCCACTGCATACACAGTGAGGGGCTGGGCAGGATCCTCTCCTCTTCTGGAGCTCCCCTGAGATTTCTGGTGCCTGGAGGGCTCTGTGCCCACTCAGTGCTCACTGTGGGGCTCTGTGGTGCCCCTGAGCTCAGCACCAGTGTGGGGCACCATGGGCTGCAGTGCCCCGGGCTCTGCTGTGGGCACAGCCCTGGGGGAGCTGCCTTGTCTCAGCTGGAATGCTCTTAGGTACAAACAATAAAGAGCCCTAGGAAAGTGTATGCTTGTAAGGGGGGTTGGCTTTTGATGGCTCCAGCTGATGTGAAGGCTCCAGCACAGCAGATGTCCCCAAAAGAGCAGCTCTGTCCCCATCCACGGGTCACTGCAGTGTCCCTTGGCACTCCAGATGGTGCAGTCCATGGCTCAGCATCTTCTGCTCACTCTCTCTGCTCCTTCCCCTGAGGCAACACTTGTGCAGGGAATGTCCAGCCCAGCCAGGCACATTTCCAGGGCTCAGAGTTGTGAACCTGCCCAAGGATCAGGGCAGAGCCCCTGGTTCAGCTGCACACTGGCAACCTCAGCAGTGCTGCTGCTCTGGGCTGTCCATGCAGGGACATGGCTGCTCTGCAAGCAGGGCTGGCCATGCACAAGCTGAAATCACAAGAAGCAACTCAGTTCACTGAGCTGCAAGTGCAGGACAGAAAGAAGAGTTAAAAAAAAGAAGATGATTTCACAAGCATGTTCCTCATGTAGAAAAAAATGTACTTGGGACCCTGCATGCCCTTCTGCTCCCCTTCAGGCAGGGTGGGGTTGTGGTGCAGCCTCAAAGCAGAGACCCTGCTCCAGTGTGGCCCAAAATCCTGCCCATTATTCCATGTCCTGTCTTGGGCTGGGGTGAGGAGGTATAACAGGTTTGATAAGGGGCTCCCAAGAGCTGGCATGATCAGCAGAGAGCCCCAGGTGGGTGACTGAGCTGGCCACTCCTCCTAATGCCCCTGTGATTGCAGTAGAACTTTCTCCTTCTTCCACAACAAGGATCTGCCCCAGGATGGGACACCCAGGGCACCTCAGCATCAGCCATGCCAGCCCTGGGATGAGGCTCTTCTGCGGCTGGGAATCCTTTTTCCCTCTCTCCTAAATCAGGTTTCCTCCTGCTCCCACCACAGGGACACAGTACAAATTCTGGGTCACCCCTGCACACAGGACACAGTGAGCTTCTACTCTAAACCAATCTAAAATTTGCACACAGGACAAATTCTGTGTCAACAGTGCACATGGGACACCTTCCTGTGTCCCTGCACACAGGACTTGGAGGTCTCTGAGCCCCCTGGCAGGGGCTGGAGCCCTCCAGGGCAGCCAGAGGGATTTCCTGGGCTCTGACAGGTTCGACTTTGCAGCTGGCTTGATGACACATCCAGTGTCCTCTGGGGTGTCCTCCCGTGGTGGCACAGACACACAGGGCAGGTGCTGCTGCTGCAGAGCAGCCAACAGCCCAGTGCCACAATGCCACTTATCCTGGCTGTGGAAACAAACATTTCCCTCCTGTGCCCCTCATCCTGCAGCCCCAGTGTGCTTTAGGACTCACTGGTTACATAAAAGCCACAAAGCCATCAGGCTCCCTGTGAGCTGGGCTCCTCCCAAGGCAACATCATAAATCCTTCTGTGCACATGAGAGCATCCACTGAGCTTCACAAGGCTTTTCATGTTGGGAGTGTTCACTGATCCTCCTGAGAGCCCCTGGCATGCTGGCACCTCCCCAGGACAGCAGAGTCACTGGATGGGCACTGGTGCAGGCTGAGAGCAGGGACAGGGCACAGCACACTTGGCTGAGCCTGGCACAAGGATGGGGGGATGCAGAAACATTTCCAAACACCGACTGCAGCCAGAATAATGCAGCTCAGGAGGGCTGAGGGTGCCCATGGGCCGCCCAAGATGGTCTGGGCTGTACTGAGGGCAGCAGTGCCCACACAGCCTGGCCAGGGTGGGAGCAAATCCAGCCCTCCATAGGGCTGAGGCTCTGCTCCACCTGGGATCCCCCAGGCCAGGAGTGCTGCAGCCTGGAGCTGGGAGAGGGACAGGGGCTGAGCAGCCCTGCCTGCAGCACTGAAGGTGTCCTGTGTGCAGGGAATGTCCTGTGTGCAGGGTGGCACAGGTGTCCTGTGTCAAGGGGTGACACAGAGGGTGTCCCGTGCCTTTGATTTAGCCCTTGGAAAAAACAATTACCAACCTTTACATGAAGGATTACAAGCCACAAAAGTTTAAGTAGAATGATAGTGAATTTATCATAGGTTGAAAAGTAGATTTTTGGGGTTTTTAGAATGGGGGTTCAGGGGGCAAGATGGAGGGAACTGGGCATGTCCAGCCTTTCTCCTTCTTCTTCTTCTTCTTGGCCTCCATCTTCTGCTGTGATGGTGGCACTTTTAGATTGGTTTAGAGTAGAAGCTCACTGTCTAATATAGGTGATAGGTATTAGGAAGTGATTGTAAATATTGTACAGGTCGTTTTTAGTATAAAAAGATAACACTGCCCTGGGGACAGGCAGAGTGCCTTTGTCTGTCCTGCTGAGTGGACCTCAGCTGGACAGGAGAAAGAATTTTATAGATAAGATACAATAAACAACCTTGAGATTGAGAACTGAAGAGCTCTGACTCCTTCGAGCACCAGGCTGGGAAAAGATACTTTCTAATACATCTTGGGGTCACTGTGAGCAGCTAGAGTCCCAAGACAAACCTGGTCCAGAGCAGGTTGTGCCATTTTCCCAGAGTCTGGAGCTGACAGGTGAAGTTTGGAGCTGCCCAGCAGCACAGAATCTCCCCAGTGCTGGGGGTCTCACCCCAAGAAGGAGTAGTCCCAAACCGTGTGTCCTCAGCTCTGGGCTGATGGCACAGGAGGGAGGCTCAGGATGGGACAGAATTGATTCCATGGAGAAGAGCAGAACACCAACCTGGGCACGCCCCAGGCCATGCCCTGATGGCAGTGACCAAGCAAGGGCTGGGCTGAGCTCTGCTGGCACCACACCAGCCTCATCCTGGAGCTCAGCACAGCACAGACTGTTCATCCTCCCCATCGATGGGCAGGGCACCAGGAACCTTCACAGCCCCTTGGAAAGTGTTCCTGGGTGTCCTGTGTGTGCACAGAGCTACAGCTCCAGGACAGGGCACGGGGTGTCACCCACAGCTGGTGGCACAGGGCTCCAGGGCACTGGCCTGAGACAGGAGGAGAGGAGTTAAAGCCATGGTGGGGGAGCCATGGTGCTGCCCACAGAGCCTCCATGGCTCCAGGAGCGAATCCTGCCTCAGCTCTCACATCTGGCCAGCACATCTGCATGGTGCTCCCAGCACAAGGTGAGCCTGCAGACACCTGCAGTGAAGCTCCTCCAGCAGCTGTGGTGGGAGCTCCTCTGTCCTAGTTGAGACAGAGACAACACAAAGTAACACACTCCATTTCAGAAGGCTTCAAACTGCTTTTATTCCAGCATTCATGCTTTTTATACATTCTTGCAAAACTCATCAGTTTGCATTTTACTCATTGATCAGGAAAGGCAAACAACGTGCTCATTGGAACAGGCAATTGCAGGTTTCTCTTATTTATCCTTCTTTCTTTCTTGGTTTCTGTGTCAATGACCTTATTAGAAAATTCTTTCGGGGTAAGCATGGATCCCCTTCTCAAACTTCTCTGTGGCTCATAGGAGTCACAGTAAAACCTCTCCCACCCCTCATCCCAGGGCAGCCCAGGACAGGGATTTGTCCCACAGTCTGTCCCCCAGGTTGTGCCCAGTGAGTGCCATGGCTGTGCCACCAGGGTGTGTCTGTGGCACAGCCTGTGCTGCTCCTGCCTGACAGGAGGCTGGGCTGGTGGTGATGATGATGATGATGATGATGATGATGATGATGATGATGATGATGATGATGATGATGATGATGATGATGAATTTATGGCCTCCCACCCAGGGCTGCAGTGGAGTCTGCAGCCACAGATGCCTGCAGAGGGTGTTGTGGGAGCTGTGGTTGGGATGAATAATTTTCCAGCCCTGCAGCTCAAGAGCCACGAAACCCAGAGGGGGACAGAAAGACAACAGAGCACTAAAACAAAACAAACCCCTGGCTTGAGCTGCCAACTGAGTTCTGGGCCTTGTTGTTTTTCATGTTTATCCTGCTCCAGATGAGCAGCATCCAACCATTGCCCTTCTCCATCAGTGCAGGGGCCAAAACAGGGGAGATGAGTAAGATTTGCCTGTTTGGGGTGCCCTGACTTTGACCCTCATCCATGGAGAAATTTTCCCAGACTTCAAGATAGACCGGAATCCACAAAACTGTGAAATAGATTATAGAGAGTGGTGTAGGTATATCACTTGGTGAGAAATTGAGGTTTTGGGATTTTTAGGGTGTTGTGGATGGCAGCAAGATGGAGGGCACAGGGTGTTGTCCTGGGTTTCTTCCTCATGATTCCTCTCCCTCCTTCTTCATGGGTTTGGGTGGCATTTTGTAATTGGGCAGAAAAGCCCCCATTGCAGCTCTTTGGGATCAGTTATTGGGTTAAAAGAGGAAATAATCTAGGTGTCAGCTCTTAATTGGACAGTTTAGTTTTAAAAGACCTTGTAACAAGAGATTGTTGGCCATTTTGTGCTTTCTAATGAAAAGCTGCAGAACTCACAGTAGTGATAAGAAATAATGAACACCTGAGTCTGAACATGAGCTATCATCTGAAGTGCCTTCAGTCCAGAGCCGGAGAAACTGATATGACCCCCAAGATTGCATTGACCTGAGGCCATGGAGAAGCTTCCAAAATTGATTGATAGAACTGGGATTGTGGGTGTGGAGTTTGAATAGAGGTGTGCAATATCACAGGGTGGAAAACTTAGAGCTTAAGGTTTTGGAATATAGTAATATATATAGGGAAAGATGGAGGTTGTAGGGCAGGGGCTGCTCCTTCTTCACCTTCTCCATGGGTTTGGGTGGTTTTGTGTAATTGGACAGAAAAGTCTGCATTGACAACTTTGAGTGATTAGCTATTGAGTTAAAACTGAAAATAATCTAGGAGTCAGTTCTTCATTGGATAGTTTATCCTTAAAAGACCTTGTAACAAGAGATTGTTGGCCTTCTAATGAAAAGCTGCAGAACTCACAGTAGTGAGACTGTTTTAGTGATAAGAAATAATGAACACCTGAGTCTGAACATGAACAATAATCTCAAGTGCCTTCAGTCCAGACCCAGAGAAACCCGGCAGGGGCAGCGCTCTCCCCTCGCTGCCGCTAGAGGACAACACAAACACGGCTGAGC